GTTGTGTCCGCAGACAAAGCTGTCCTGGATTACAAGGAAATTAAAGGAGGGCTTCTCGAACTACATCACACCGGTATCCATACATACATTCCTCTGGTGTTGATATCATTGGTAATTAATTGTTGATTTGATTGATACATAGGAGTGCCTAAAACGCTGAGAGGCAAAGGAATCGGCGCAATACTGGCCAAGGTATGCTATACTATATGATCGTATTGTACAGTACAGTACCCCGTCTACCCCTACTCCCTATTGACACCAATCCTTGTCAAGTAACTCACATTGATAGTGATGACCACCATATGATACCTGTCCCGTCAATCAATTGTAAGCAATAATCAAAACGTGTGACACATTGTGTGTATGACAGGAAGCGTTTGATTACGTGGTTCGGAACAACCTGCAAATGATAGTGTCGTGTACTTACCTTCAGAAGTACCTGATGGACAACCAAAAGGAGGAATATCTGAAGCAACTGTATCACGATTCGTCACATCCTGATGAATAAATTGATGAATAAGTGAACCACTAATGACTAATGAATAGGAATATGCTTGTATAGTTTGTAAACAAATGCTCATTTTATTCTTAATGACAAAATTTTAATTATTAAACAAATATATAATAAATTTTAAAATTTTATTGTAATTCCGCCACCGATTCGAGTGATCCGTTACTTATATATAATATAACGAGAAAAAGATTGCAATAAATTATTGCACAATAAAAATATTAATATCAATATTACGTTAAATTTGATTTGAAAGAGAGGAACACTTCATAAATCACAGCATTATATATATAATCAATATTTGTAATCATAATGAAAACCTGAAAAATGCGAAATTGAGGCCAAAATAAATATACAGCTCTTAGAAGTGAAATAAACATTTATATAATGATTTGAAACTTAAAATTCTAATTCAAAATCTCTTTGACTGAAAAGCTTTTTGATGAGAATGAGAGCTCATTGTTGTTGGGCTGAGGAGTGGACGTCTTCAGCGCCGAATTCTTGTGGGTCTTATCGGACGAACAATTGGATGATTCGGACATTTCGTGGAATTTCAAGATATGGTCGTCGAGTAGGGTTTGGGTTGAGAAGCCGAGTGAACACAGCGGACAGATGTTAGCGCTTCTCAATGCATGCGAACGGGTCTTACAGTGACGGTTCAGATCTGATTGAGTCACACCGTTATAGCTGCAGATCTGACATAAATATTGCTTTATTCCTGTAATGCAATCACAATTCAATTAGTCATTCATATGCAAACGCAATCAAATAGTGAATGTGTAGGTGCGCACCGGCATGTCTCATCATATGGACTTTGAGTTGACTATTGGTGCGACTCTGGTATTCACAGAATTCGCATTTGAATGGTCGGACGTCTTCGTGGAAATTCATGTGTCGGTTGAGATCTGAAAGCGAACAAAACGTTTTGTTGCAATAACTACAGGGGTATAGGAATTTGCCGTCCGGGCCCACCAGTGGACGACACGCCTCATTGCGTTTGACCGGCTTCTCCACCACTCCTAACCTATTGGATCAATGATATTGAGATTCTATACAAATAGATTACCATTTGATAAGACAATACCTGGGATTATAAGACGAGAAGAAGGCTCCGTGACATCGAAGCTTAGTCTCCAAGAAGTCGTTGGGATTTATGTCCGAACCGGAGTTAACCATTGATTCGTATTCTTCTCTATTTGTATCCATGTCTGGCATATCTTCTTCATCTTCTTCCCGAAGAGCTTCGTTCTCTTCAGTCGAATAGGAGGACGAATCGTGAGAAAAGTCATCGGTTGTAATGATCTTTTTGGAAGGCTTTCCTTTGCGCCTCCGCTTCGAAGGACTAACGTTTTGTGTAGCGTTTGTACTGTCGGAACAATTAATGGAAGTCTCTTTACTATTGGAAGATATCGTGTCTTTGTGTTCGTCAGTATTCACTTCCGAGTCTTTCTCTTCGCTCTCTTTGTCTTCACTCTTAGTAACCATTTCTTCCTCTTCTTCTTCCGAGTCTTCTTGTTTGACTTCTTTCACGTGATTATCATTCACGTCGTTATCTATCACTTCGTTGGCGTTCAATATCTTGAGCGCAGCCTTTTTCAAACTGGTCGCCACTTTCCTCTTATTACTGTTGGAACTGTTATTCTTGTCCTTTCGGTTCCTTTTGAGTAGTTCTCGTCCACTGCCGTCGCTGTGAAACCGGATTATATGGTGTCTGAGATTCCTCTTCTCACTGAAGCCACGGCCGCACGTCTTGCAAATGCATGGCTTGAAGCCGGTGTGGACTCTCTCGTGCCGGTGCACCGAAAAGATTCGGTCAAAGGTCTTGTCACAGAAGCGGCACTTGAACTGTCCCGGAGAGGTCTCCTCGATATCACCGATTCCTTGAGGGAATTTGTGCGACAATTGTACCACATTTTGAATGTCTTTAATGACTTTGACTTTCATATCGGAGGAATGTTGTGGATCTGACTTATGTTTAATGGATTTATTCTGCAAAATCGATTTCTTGTGCGATCTGTAGTTGTTTTGAATGTGCTTTTGGTCGCAAACAGACATTCCATCGGATAGACTGTTATTATGATTATTATTATTATTATTATTATTATTATTATTATTATTATTATTATTATTATTACTATTAATGGTATTATTATTGTTAATAAATATGTTGTTATTGTTTTCGAATGAATGATTGGGCGATAAATTGTGTCCAAATTCTGTACCCATGAGTACAAGACTCGGATGAATGAAAGACGGAATCGAGAGATGACCACCACTTTTGTCGTTGTGATCCATCGCTTTGTGGAGCTGTTCGTGAAGAGTGAGTTCACTTCTCCACTTGAAATTAGCCCCACATTTATCACAAGTAAACTCTTTGTTTGTGTTGAGATGACTGGCCTGCAGGTGCAACACAACTGGTTCTAAGCTCGGAAAGGCAAACCCGCACAGACAGCACTTGTACAGCACGTAACTCTGTTCAGTGACCGGATGCACCCCTTCCAACATCGTTATCAACAGCTTCTCGC